TGCATTCCAATATAAAGAGAAGAAGGAGGAGGGGAAGGGAGAGGAGGAGAAGGAGAAGAAGAGAAAGGAGAAGATGCAACCCCAGTGATAGGCTGGGTATAATACCCACAGCGTGCAGTAATCCCAGGCTCGGGAAATGTTTCAGATTCAAACGCAAGTAAATTTTAACTTGCTTCCAGGCAAATGGCTGTCTCATTTCTAGCTCAGTGCGTTCCGCTACAGTTCCACTACCTGCTGTTCACTGCACCAGCTTGCAGGGTCAACCACATGGTGTGTTTTGAGCAGGGCTTAAGGGTGTTTGCTTTTGCATTTGTGTTGCGTATGTACTGGGTTAGCCTAGGACCTTGCTCCTCAGAGGTAGTTCATAGCCTCCAGCCTCACCTTGGAGTCTGTTAGAAATGCAGAATCTCAACCCAGCTCCACCCAGTTAGAAACAGTGTTTTACCAAGGTCACCATTTATACCTTCAAGTCTGAGAAGCACTTAAAACTTAATGAAAACTGTTAAGTTTAGAGAGAGACAGAAGCCATGCAGGGATAAAGCTATCCTTGGCCCCTGAGTTTTACTTAGTGTATCCTTGTCCCAGATTCTCTGTTAATCTAGAGGTAAAATTTCATCCATATGGTTAAAGCTATAACATCCCTTTGACCCTGCTCTCACTTAGTCATTAGACTTCATTATCTAGAATATGGCTCAGATGTAGAAATTAACAAGAACAAAAACACCCCAGGCAATTAACATGGATGCAGCTTATATATTTCATACTTTGGTGAGATCTCAGACCCTTACTAGGTGGTGCTAGTGGTAATGAACCTGCCTGCCAATGAAGGAGATGTAGGAGATGCGGGTTTGATCCCTGGTTCGGGAAGATTCCCTGGAGGAGAGCACAACAACCCACTTGAGTATTCTTGCCTGGACAATCTCTGTGGACAGAGGAGCCTGGTGGGGTACAGTCCATAAGGTCGCAAAGAGTTGGACATGACTGAAGCAACTTAGCATGCACAGACCCTTACAATCCCAGTAATCTTGGTATTATGTTTCCCTACACAAAAAAATTGGAAGCAACAAATTTGAAGTAGAGCCTAGGGAAAGAAGTGAAGTGCCTGCAGGCTTGAGGTGAGGTTCACAACGAACACTGATGGGAGAAAGAACGACTTTAACATTTTCACGGTTATTTCGTTTTATAAATCTTGGTCATACCTCAAAAATTGATCTTAAAGAAGTGGTTCTCAATTGTGGTTGCCCATTAGACTCACCTGGTGAATCCTTTAAAAAACAAAGCCCAAAGCCTCAGTCTTAGAGATTCTGGTCTCAATGGTCTGGGGTGGGGTCCAGCCACAAGTAGTTTAAAAAGCTTCCCAGATGATTCTAATAAACAGCCAGGGTTGTGAACCATTAGCTTAGTGATTTGGTTCAGTTCACTTCCCAGCTGGCTCTGTGGTAAAGAATCTGCCTGCCAGTGCAGGAGTTGCAGGAGACATGGATGTGATCTCTGGCTTGGGAAGATCCCCTGGAGGAAGGATGACAACCCGCTCCCGTGTTCTTGCCTGAAAAATCCCGCAGACAGACGAGCCTGGCAGGCTACAGTCCACGGGAAAGGAAGAATCGGACGTGACTGAGCGACTGAGCACACACTCATCAGGGGCCACTCACTGTAGAACTCAGAGGCCTGGACCCTAAGTAGCCCCAAGTAGGTTCTTTACAGCTTGTTACATTCTTTGATGATGGTTAGAATGTCTTTGAGGATTTCCCTGGTGACTTAGTGGTAAAGAATTCACCTGCCAATGCAGGAGACACAGGAAATGTGGGTTCAATCCCTGGGTGGAGATGATCCCTGGAGTAGGAAATGGCAACCCATCCCAGCATTCTTGCCTGGAGAATCCCATAGAGAGAGGAAACTGGTGGGCTACAGTCCATGGGGTTGCAAAGAGTAGGACACAACTGAGTGAGCAAAATCATTGCTGAGAAGTGTTATTGATGACCAAGATTTTAAGAAGAAAATATCTTATATATTAGAAGTGATCTTGACAGAAAGTAAGAGAGCCTAGAACTAAATGATAAAGAAACCCATATCTAATTCTCGTGTCATAAAGAGACCTAGAGGGAACTGGTGGAGGGAGGCAGACACCACCATCTTTCCTTTCTGATCCTCTCCTTGTAGACCGATACTTAATGTGCCCCCAAATTCTCTGGGGATCTTGTTACAATGCAGATTCTGACTCCGTACGTCTGGGGAGGACTTGAGATGTAGCTGGTCAGAGACCATACTCAGAGCTGCACAGCTCTAGATCATGCTGATGACCATGACTCACCCCCAAAACCCTCTGAGGAACCCAAACAAGAAGAATGACTTCCTTGGTCCTGAAGAATGAATGCTCCAGGCGTCGTTGGTACCCAGAAATACTCTGCTCAAAACTTCTTAACTATTTCCTCCTCCACTAGGCAACTTTATCAGAGAAGCAGGGGCTGTTGTGTTAGAAATGGGCTTAGAGAGCATCCATCTAGCTTGACTCATTCATTAGAAAAGTATGGCAGTGGGGCCAAGACGGCAAAGGATTTGCCAAGTTCACAGGTGATACAGGCAAAGTCAAAACTGGCTCCAAGTTAGGACATGAAAGCGTCAGTTAAAGATACTATTAAAAAAGTGAGTCAACATAATTGCCTTGTGTTAATTTTTATATGAAATATCATCTTCATTATCTTTAGGGAGCTGGTAGACTAATAAAGACCAGAGCTGGAAAGGAACACACAGCTCTAAAGCTTGGCTGGCTGGCCTTGAGCCTTAAGATGGGGTAGATAAGATGCTAAAGGGGCTCCCCTGTCTCTGGGACCACACAGGAGCTATGTTTCCCCTCTCATGGAATTTCCATAAAGAGGGTTCAGGCCTCCAGCAGAAGCTGCTCGACAAATTACCCAGTCATGCTGATTTCACTCATTGAATCTCGAATCTGCTTCTCAAATGATTTTCTAAGTCCTACACAAGAATGACACATACTCCTATTCAATGTTAGAAAGCCCTTGTGTGAGACTGAAGATGTACATTATTCTTTTAATATGCGGAGTGTGAGGGGCAATCATATTCCCAGAACATTTAGAAGTGTATCCAGCCAAATGGGCCTTATTCTGGGTCCATTTTTTTGAGGCCTCTTAGGAAAGCAGAACGCGTGCTAATGAAATCAGCAGACCCCATGGCATTCTGGGTCCTGGAGCCATCCATGTGGCTGGATCAGTGGCCACACTGGCTCCTGAGTGCCCCCTTCCCTTGCCAAAAGAGGCCCTCCCAGCAACACTGTTTACGAAGGACTTGTTCTCGTTTTTGACCTCAAAGCTCTGAGCTGGGCTGACACTTTGTCAACAGAGCGTGTGACCATGTTATCTTGCTCCCAGTGGCTCTCTGGGTCTGGAATTAAGAGCCAGAGGGAAATCAACCTGAAAGCCACAAGTCTGAATATTAAATAGTATCACCACGAGGGGCTACAGTGGGAAAGAGGTTTCCTGGACTTAAGTCACCTCCCTCCACTTCCAACTTCACTTGGTGTCTGTCTTCTATTTTGTGTTCATGATAAATTCTGATGTATCTCTGTTTCCTTAGGCCACCTCAGCACCTTCTTGGGAATTAAGCTGTGTGGATAGGCAGAGGTGCAGATTCATACCTTTGCTGTCAGGAGGCTCAGGTGTCAAGGTCATTTTCACTTCTGAGACATTTTCAAAAGATTACAGACTCTTTCTCAGCGCCTCGTCAGAGAGACAAGAAAGAGCTGGAAGGTGAGGCAAGAAACCACGGGTGATGTTTGAGCAACGAGGTTGGAGCCCGTTTTACATGTTTTTCATTGTATTTTATTTTCATTAATTGCTTTAATGGGCATGTGGTACTGCAAAATGAAATTGTTTTCCTCAGTTGATGCAATTTACTGGGAGACAGTTTGATCCTATAACGCAGGGACTCTTCAAATCCACTGATCTTGGGGTGGAGGGAGGGGTTTCTTTTTAAGCATTCATTTCGAAGGATGTTTTCACTAATGAATACAAAGCCTATAAAGGGAAAAACCCCTGTTTCCTCACCACCGTGTTTCACAATAGCTATTAGATGACCACAGCATCATCAAAGAGTGGAAAATGTGTGGGGGAGGGGCACAGGGGCTTCAAGAGTTGCAATTTACCAAGGAAGTTGACTCTGATACCCAAATCCACAGGCTAAAAGTGGTGCCGTGAATCTGGGAAAAGTTCAGGCCTGGTTCAGGCTTGCACCCTTCTCTTCTGATCCCAGATGTGGAGGGGGTCCTGGCTCTGGGTTGCTCAACGTCGGCTGTGAGTTCCAAGGAGAGGCTCGGAGCCCCAATCTGCAGTGTGGCTCCAAGGAGCCGCACACAAGCAGTGGAGTCCCAGCGTCCAGGGGGGCGGAGGGCGCTGGTGCCTGCTCACAGAAGAAAAGGCCAAGGCCACAGACCTGAGTGCCTCCCCGGCAGTGGGGAGCGCAAGGCTGGCTCAGGTTGGGGTCTGGAGAAAGCCCTGAGTCTGTGAGGCTGCATCGGAGTTAGAGGCTGCAAGGGTCTCAGGACACCAGGCAGGTCTGGGTGCAGGGCCCAAGGATCCTACTGTGCCCGGACCTCCCCTGGCCCCGCCCCCTCGCCCTCCCCTGGCCCCGCCCCCTCGCCCTCCCCTGGCCCCGCCCCTCGCCCTCCCCTGGCCCCGCCCCCCTCGCCCTCCCCTGGCCCCGCCCCCCTCGCCCTCCCCTGGCCCCGCCCCCCTCGCCCTCCCCTGGTCCCGCCCCCCTCGCCCTCCCCTGGCCCCGCCCCCCTCGCCTCGCCCCGCCCTCCCCTGGCCACGTCCCTTCCCGCCCCGCCCCCTCCCGCCCTCCTCCAGCCCCACCCCTCGTCCAGCCCCACCTCTTGGGGGCGCCCGTGCGCCCTCCGGCTATAAAGCATTGAGGCACTGCAGCCCCTGGACCAGCGAGAAGCCCTGAGCGGCTGCACTGCTTGCTTCCAGACCCCTTGAGGCACCATGGCCGAGGGCCCGTTCTTCAGGGCGCAGACGCCCTTGCACCCGGACCACCTGTGGATCTGGGAAAAGGCCGTGTATGTGGACGAGAACCGGCGCACCTGGCTGCCCATAACCATCGAGGTACAGCCGCCGTGGGGCCGGGCGTGCAGGGCAGCATGAGCGGCCCCCCCATGGCCCGGGGTCTGGAGCCGGACGCCCCAGGTCGTGCAGGCCCTAGAGGACACCCTCAGATGCCGCAGGGCAAGGGTGGCGGCGGGAAGACTCAGAAGGGCAGGTCCGCCCAGGGCGGCCAGGACACACAGATGAAACCACTCTGAGTTGGGCTTGAGGATGAGAGGTTCTCCTGGCCAGGAAAGCAGGGTGGGAGAAACACAGAGCCGAAGGATGGGGACCCAGTATGTCTGGAGTGTATGAATGTGATTTCGAGTGAAATAGGATTTCTCTGGGTCTCACGGACCTAATCCATAAAATCTTGTCTCCGAAGTGATTTGGGTTTCCTTGGTGGCTCAGGGCGTAAAGAATCTGCCTGCAGTGTGGATGACTCAGGTTGAATAACTGGGTTGGGAAGATCCCCTGGAGAAGAAAATGGTAACCCACTCCAGTATTCTTGCCTGAGAAATCCCATGAACAGAGGAGCCTGGCGGTCTACAGTCTGTGGGTTATGAAGAGTCGGACATGACTGAACGACTCACACTAGAAAGTGATTACCACCCTTGGCCCATTATCAGAATCTCCATAGGTGAACCCAGAAATCTGTATTTTGAAAGGACCCTCCGCAAATTAAGATCAGCCAAGTTTGGGAACCACTGCAGTAGAGTTTGGGATATTTCCTACCTCCTCTATGCTTTGAAAGAAACAAATTTCACACGGCATAAAGCAGTACTGTAAAGCAGTACTGAATAGTCACTGACTTATGTGTGATACCTTAAGATGGATCTTTAGTTAATATTAACTTTGTTTTTTTTTTAAGAAATACAGCTCTCTTATAAGCACTTTTCATCAGAGCATGGGTTTCCTCAAAGAAACTTAGGTGAAAACAGTTGAAACTTTCCATATATAAACTAAAAGAATATATAAAAGCATAATTAAAATCTCATTAGAACATTTATGAATATAATAGTAAAACTGCAAAAAATAACTGAGAATGCCTGTTTTCCCATTTTATAGGTGAGGAAATAGAGGCATAAAAATGTACATTTGTTCAAAGTAGTGTTGCTTGTAGGTAATGGGGTTGGGATTCCCGCACAACATCATCTAAAATGTAACCACCATCTAAAATTTGCATCTTTATTGTTCTTTAAGACTTTGAAATACATATACTTAAAAAATTGAGTTATATATTCACTTTAAGTCAAGTATTTGAGGAAAATGTAAGTGAATATCTTTTTAAAATCTCTGGTTGGGGCATATCTTCTTAAATATGCTGAAACTGTGAAGGAGAGTTTTTCACATAATTATTATAAATTCTGGACAAAACCATTTAGCAAACCGTGGGACAGGATTTTCTCCACATAACTTTAAAGAACTAGTATTCTTCATCTGAAAATATTTATGTAAGTCAACAACAAAAAGATGAATAAGCAAACTTCAAATGGTTCAAGGATATGGAAAGCCATATCCTAACATGGCAAGAATGGTGATTTCCACCCTTGTATCTTGCAAGATATTCTGAATTGTTTTTTAACAGTGAATTCTAACTTACTTCATGGACAAAATTTGAAAAGCTGTTTTCACTTTGGAAAAATAATCATTGAATAAAGATAAGTGTCTGATTGATATGCCAAGAATTCTCGGTTGTGGGGATTTGCAGTGAGTGGGATTAAATCTCAGTGCCTGTGAAGCTGATATTCTACTCAGGGAGAGGGACAGGACAGTAGTGAGGTGGGTGGGAAGTTGTGTAGGATAACTCCAATGGGATAGCAGGCAGGAACCAGGCATAGGGTCTTCATGCAGGTCCCCTCCAGAGTCTTCATTCGCATGTACCTGCAAACTGCCCATCATTTTCTCTGAAACCTTTTTGGACATCTGTTTGGGCATGCCTCTTACGGATGTCAGAGTTGGATTCTTCTGGCATTTGTCTTTATAAACATACGTTCATTTGAACAGAGAACTGCCTTTAAAAAGGATGTGAGCCCTGCATGGATTTAGGGGAGAATGTTCCAGGCAGAGGACAGCAAGTAGGAGGGATTTCTGTTTGGAGGGATCGTGTGTGTCCCAGACATGGTGAGGAGGTCAGTGTGACCGGAGTGGATGGAGGAACTGGGATGGAACAGTAGGAGGTGAGAGAGGAGGTGAGAGGTGAGAGAGGCAGGGACCTGGCTCAGCAGGCCTGTGGGCCATGGTGAAGATTCCAGCTCATCTGCCTGCGATTGGAAGGTGTCGAAGGGCACCCAGCAGTGGAGGGACAGGATTTTTAGACACACCCTGGCTGCGGGGCTGAGACTTGGCTGTGGGTCACAGGACCAACTCGGCGGCAGGTTGGTGTCTCTGTAGTCTAGGGAGACGCAATGAAACGGACTGCGGTGGAGATGGTGAAATGTGCTCTGTCACCTGATGCCGGGGTCTGGGGAGATCTCCTGTTTCAAAGGGGATGCATGATAATGAATAATCCAAGAACATCCCACATCAGCTGAAAGAGACCCCAGACACCATGGTTACAGAAGCCCCGGGGCCTCGTGGCATTCCCTGGCAACTAGGCAGTGGTCTCGAGGTGGACCTTCTGTGGTCCTGTCTGGGTATCTTGACCCACTCAAGTGCTGCTCATCCTGGCCCAGCCTGAGCCCCCTGAGAGGAGCACTGTCTGGCTTAGGGATCGGATCTTTGGGGAGCAGTGATCACCAGCATCTCAGCTGCAGGCTGGGCAGGTGACTGGATGGCCGAGGGTATTTGTGCCTGCCGCATCCTGAGGGTGTGCCCCGGCCTTCTCTTCTCTTCAGACAGAAAGTAGCCTCCAAGTCCTCTTGCGTCAGGAAGACGTGCCCCTGGGGGATCCTGTGTGCCCCAGCCAGCTGGGCCCGTACCTGCTGCCTGTCATGTGGCAGCTCTACCCCGGGAGGAGGTACCGAGCCTCAGACTCCAGTTTCTGGCGCATAGTGTACCATATCAAGGCAAGTGTGGGCTTCTCTGGGGACCCATCAGGTGGTTGTGGCTGACCCTGCTCCCCCGCCCCCATGTCTGGTCCCTGCAGAGCATTTATTTTCCAATAAATGGAAATTTTAGTTTCCATACCCTCCACTTCTGCCCCCCCCCCAAAAAAAGAGGGACTTTACAATGGCAGATATTTTTAGGACTGGATTGGTGAGACATTAAAAGTGAATGGCCAGCCAGCCTCAGGGGCCTCCAACGGAAGCCCCCTTAGTGGCAGGCACCTCTCTGGCAGGCAGTTCCAGGTTGCAGGCTGGGGGGACGAGGCCCCTGGGGTCCCCCCCACGCAGGTTCCCAGCTGCTACCCCAATCCCAGGGCCAGGAGTGGGAGGGGATGGAGGATCCTGGGCTCTGGCCTCCACCTCCCTCTCACAGATCGACGGCACCGAGGACATGCTCCTGGAGCAGCTGCCAGACCCAGAGGACGAGTGATGAGGTGAGCACTCCGGGGCCAGGTCAGGAAGAGGGGACGCCCCTCCTCCCTGCCGTGGAGGCTGTGCTGACCCCCATCCTCAACTGCACTGACCTCCGATCGTCCCCGGGGCTGGGGACCCGGGCTGGCTCTCCTTTAACACCTCAGGAGCCGATCATCTCCTTAATATTAGGGGCACACAGTTACACGGTGCTTCATAGGCATGGGGTCTTTTGACCATCGTATCACCAGACCTGGATAGTGTTTAACTCTATAGGTCATAGGTGGGGGGGGGGGGGGGCGGTTCAGACATAGAATGACTGGTCCAGATCACGGAGTCAGATTTCAGATCCAGGTCTTCTCACGCCAAGCCGCTGACTTAGGCGTAAGTCCTGGGCTCTGGGGACCAGTACTGACCCCCTGGCTCCCCTATCCAGACCCCAGCCCCTCCACCCCTTCCTTCCCTTTTCCCCTGACCCTGTTCTCTTGTTTGTCCCAGATCCCGCAGCTCCCATCTCCTCCCAAGCCCTGAGCCTGCCAGGGGGATGTTCGTGCTGGCGTTCACTTTCTGTACCTACCAACCCTGTGTGATCTGCTCCACCACACCCGAGTCGGACAGACGGACAGAGGATGAGTTCCCCCGACCGGACCTGCCTGCGGGAGAGGCTGTGTGGGCACAGCTTCGGGGTCCACGTGCCCCGGCTCTGCCTGCCTCTAGTCTTCTCAGCTGCCTGATGGTCTCAGCCTCTCTCCCTGTTCCGCCCCTCACAGCAAATAGTGTCACATCCTGCACAACCTGGACTGCTTCCCGCTCCGTCCCCTCAGCTCTGTATCCTTCTGGCCGCAGGGAATAGGGCTGGCTCGCCTGCGCTTGGTCTCTGAGCCCCTGAACCAGCTGTCTCGCGTGGTCCCTGCCGGCACACGACCACGCCCCCGAAAGCCCCGCCCACGCTTCTGAAAGCCCCGCCCCCTGCCCCAGCAGCCTGGGTGGGGTTCACAGGACGGCCTGGGAGGGGCTTGGGTCAGTGCTCAGGACTCCGAAGCCTGTGGTTCAGAGGCGCCCAGCCTGGGACATGGCAGGAGGCCCAGCAGGCCAGCGCGGTGGACCGGCCCTCTGATTGCCCACCTGTGGAAAGAGAGGTTGGAGGTCCCCCTGTTTTACAGATGCCCTCAGACCCGGATGTTATGAAGTTGTATGTAGTGTAAACACTTTGTAATGTTGACTGATTAAATGTGAGACAGTTCATCTAACTTTGTGCTGGACCAGCTTCTATCCTTGACCTTGATTCTAGTGGAGAGAAGTAGGAACAGTCACCAAATAAGAGTATTTGAAAGGGAAAGAATACTCATGAAATTACTGTGTGTGTGTATATATGTGTGTGTGTGTGTATATATATGTATATAGTTTTTACTTTGGAGATAAGGCTGGAATTTATTTGCATATAAACCAAGTGCTCAAAAGCCCAGTGTTCTTGGAGGTATAGTTTTGAGAACCACTGGAGTAAGTGACCTCAAAAAGTCAGCCTCTCCTGGTATTCAGGACATACACACACATACACACCTTTTTTGCCCCATTCTCCTCCCTTCCTGGTCCGGCCAGCTCTGTCTCCTGTCCCTCCCTGGGTAGTTCCAGTCCCAGCAGGAGCCCCTCCTGCCAGACACTGTCCCCAGCCAGCCGGCCAGAATCCTTCCCTTTCTCCCACACCCCAGGTCACAGCCCAGCCCCCAGAAGCCTCCTGCTTCCTTCTCAAGATTCGCTGCGGCTCCTTGCTCCTTTATAAACCTCCTGAACAGGTAGATGGGACCTCAGGCATCACAACGGAATGCCTTCCAGTCAAAGGAATACTGCTTCACCTCACTTGGTGTAACCTTAGTCCATAGCTCTTCATCACCGAGCCATGTCAGGGTCAGGACACAAATATCAATAGGTTGTTAAGTATCTGAGAATTACAGAAGAAAAATACTGCTTCCCTGGTGCCTCAGATGGTAAAGAATCTGCTTGCAACACAGGAAACCCAGGTTCAATCCTTGGGTCAGGAAGATCCCCTGGAGAAGGAACGTGACAACCCACTCAAGTATTCTTACCTGGAGAATCCTATGGACAGAGGAGCCTGGAGAGCTACAGTCCATGGGGGTCACAAAAAGTCAGACACGACTCGAGTGACTTAACACATGTACAAGTATCTAATATGAGAATTGTATAAGAAAAATACTACTTTTCCTATTTTATATTCTCCGATCCCAGTCTTCGTAACTGGCATTAGACAGGTGAGCATCTGGTTCCACACCTTCCTGGGCCTCTGTCTCTCAATCCTGTCGTTTTGCACGGTCCTTGACAGTGTAGGAGTTTGTTCTGCTGGAGTGTCGGAACCTCAGAGGAGGAGGAGCATCCATGGCAGCCAGTGGCCTGTTTTAGGAACAGGCACAGGAACGGGAAAGTTCTCAATTGGGGCTGAATGTTTGTGTCCAACTCCCCCCCCTCCATATTCATATGTTGATGCCCTAACTGCTGGGTGTATATATTTGGAGGTGGGACCTTTGGGAGATGATTAGAGTAAGAAGACGGCCTGAGGATGGGGCTTCCATGATGGAACTAGTGCCTTTATAAAAAGAGGAAGAAAGATCTCTCTCCACGTGCACGCATCAAGGAAAGACCGTGTGAGGACACAGCAGGAAGACGGCAGGCAGCAAGCCAGGACCACACACGGACACTGAGCTGGCTGGCCAGCAATTTGATCTTGGACTTCTGACCTCACGTTGAACTGGGAGATATAAACATCTGTTGTTTAAGCCCCCAAGTTTGTGATAGTCTGTTACAGCAGCTCAAGCAAACCAAGGCGGTGTTCATGAAAACTTTGGCCACCTCCGTGAACTCTGCTGACGGCTGCAGATACAGCAGTGAACAAAACCGAGGCCCTCCTCTCAGGCAGCTGTCCCTCTGGATAAAGAAGAATGAGAAGCTCAGAATGTGCCAAATCCTACGGAGAAAATAGAACACAGTAACCAGGTAGCAAGTTAGGTGAGGTGTCGAAGGTATTCCCAACCTTGTAGGTGGCCTTTAAGATCAGACCTTGAAAATGAGAAGGAGCTAGCTTCTTAAGTTAGGGAGGAGAGTCCCAGGATAAGGAGATATAAGGTTGTGTGAGTTTAATTTGCTGTGGAAATTGAAAGAGCACAAGGTTCTCTTTACTAAGAGAACGCACGTGCGCGTGCTCTGCCTCTCAGTTATGTCTGACTCTTTGTGACCCCACAGACTGTAGCCTGCCAGGCTCCTCTGTCCATGGGGTTCTCCAGGCAAGAATATTGGAGTGGGTTGCCATTTCCTTCTCCAGGGGATCTTTCTGACCCAGGGATCAAACCTGCGTCTCCTGCGTTGCAGGCAGATTCTTTACTAAGCCACCAGAGAAGCCCTTTATGGGCACAAGTCATCCCAATAAATTATAAGTGTGATACAGAATCTCAGTTTTCTGCAACAAGAATGACTTTGAGGTTGTGTTTGAGACCCCCAGGGTGGACAGTGGTATTGCTGAGGCAGGGGGAAGTGGGCTCAGTAGGACAGAAATGTCCAGATTGTTTTAACAACATGAGGTTCGAGTTGCTTGTGATGTTCCAGCTGGAGAGTTGATAGGCTGTTGTTTGAACATGGATCTAGAACTCCCGTCAGGACTAAAAGTATCAGTGTAGGCGTCATTAAACTGACAATAGCAGTGAAAGTCGGGGGCCTGGCCGAGGCCCCTCATGGAAGGATGGTGGCATCTTTAAACCCTAGAAGGAAGTATTTACAGAGGGCGGCGATGCTAGGCTGTGGAGCATGCTGGTGAGAGGCTGAACAGAGAGAAGTGGGCATCAGATCTGGCCATGTGGAGGCTGGTGGTGACATCGTCAGGAGAAGTTTGCTATGATGGCAGTGTGGTCTGGTCAGGGTGGGCATAAGAGAGAAGGGGAGTGAGGAGGAACAACCCTTGCTAGGAGCTTTGCTGTGGAGAAGTGTAGTCTGAGGGGGCTTCAGTCAGGGGTGACGGACACTACTCCTTCGTGCAGTTGAAGGGAAGGAGGGGCAGCAGAGAGGCCATCGTCAAAGGGCCAGCAGTCTTTTTTAATATTTATTAATTTTTTAATTTATTTGTCTGTGCCGGGTCTTAGTTGTGTCTTGTGGGATCTCTGACCTTCCTTGCGGCAATGCAGGCTTTTTTAATTGCAGCATGTGGACTGTTAGCTGAAGCTTGTGGGATATTTCCCTGACAGGGGATTGAACCCATGCCACCCGCATTGAAAGTGCAGAGTCTTAGCCATTGGACCATCAGGGAAGTCCCAGGACCAGCATTCTTGAGGAAGCCAAGCAAGATGGACTGGGTCACAAATGTATGTTGGCATCTGACCAAGAGCTTCAGCAGTTACCACTATCATACCAGTCTTGTTTCATTCCCCCTGCCCTCCATGAAGTTGGGGTTTGGTTTTTGGCTGAAGTATTTTACAGGCTGTATAATTTCACCCACAAGTAATTTATTATGTATCTTCACAGAGAAGACTTTTTATTCCTGATAACCACAATATCATTGTCACCCCTAACAAAATTAGCTGTAATTCCTCAATATCTAACCCAGTCTGTTTTCAGATTTCCCTAGTTGTCTCTGATGTCTTTCTGCAGCTGGTTTAAATCAAGACTCAGACTGTGTGTGGTTGATGCGTCTGAAGTCTCTTGTGATCTATAACCCACCTCCTTCTTTATAGCAAACCAGGTAAACTTTTTAACTCTTAACGATTGTCGTTCTTTTTTCTTGTCTAATATCTCCAAAGCTATGATAAGTAATAGACATTTTAAAAATTTTCTTAGCTTTATTGGAAAGGCCTCTGGTGTTTCCCCATTAAGTATGAGCCCATCTTTGGGGCTTAAGTATTTATATTTTATCAAGTTAAAGAAAAATCTTTCAATCCCTATTTTAGAATTTTTAACTTGAACAAATACTGAATTTTATTACCTGCCTTTTGATATGTAAGGAGAGAATCATGGGCTGTGTGT